CTGTGAGAGAAAATCGGTAGTAGTCGACATCTCATGTAAGTTGACAGGATGTTGGGGGGATGGAGGTGGTTGCGCAGGAGGCTGATTGTTGGAACCAGCAGCTTCTAACTTTGCAGTGCAAAGAGATGTCTTGCAAGGAAGTGTTGCCAAAGATGCCAGGCAAGCTCGGTAGGCAAGAGGATCGGGCTCAAGGTCAACTGATGCAAGATCAGTAGCAACCGGCTCAACAAGACAAGGATACTGGACATGATCGTCGTCAAGGGTACCATGTCGGCTTTTGGTCTCGGGGTCAACAGTGGGATCGGGCTCAAGGTCGACTGATCAGAGATCAAGGGTACCATGTCCGCGTTTGGTCTTGAGGTCAACAACAGGATCAGGCTCAAGGTCGACTGATGCAAGATCAGTAACAAACGGCTCAACAAGACAATGGTACTGAGAATTTTCCTTGTCAAGGGTACCATATTTGCCTTCAGGCCCGAGGTCAACTGATTCAAGATCAGGGACAAAAGGCTCAGCAAGGCTAGGGTATTGAGGATGTTCCTCTTCAGATGTGAGACGTTTGCCATGAGGACTATCCCATTGCCGATTATTGGACAAAGTTGGATAAAGATTAGCATCTAGATTAATGCCCCGATCAAATTCCTCAGCTGGTGAACGTCGAGATGGCTTGGAGACAAGAGGCTGTGGGATGGTGCGGCTGCGGAACACGATGAATGCGCTGGAGGCCCTGTATGTATCGAAATCATCAGGGTCAATGAGGACACAGTTAGTCAGAGTGACTGGGTCCTGAAGCACAGTTTCTCGGTGGTAGATGTAGCCACGGATCCCATGGAGATATGCCTTAAGAGGTTTTGGCACATCCCGAAGTACATCAGGTTGAGGGTCACCGTTAGCATCATGTGGCTGACTGACAGGATACTGTAGTCCGTCAATATCAGCATCATCCAGGCCAACAAGGTCAAGGTAACATTTGCAACCATACAAGTCAAGTGCGAGATGAAGAATACTGCCAGCACTGTAGCCAAAGACAGTTTCCAGGATGTACACAAGACTAGTCTCAAGATGTCCAGGTTGGAGGACTCGAGAGGGGTTGCGGTTTGTTGTTGAGTTGCCAGCAGTGGACATTGTCACTCGTGTGCCTGATGGTTGAGTACTACTAGTGGCGGGCAGTTGAGTAATGTTGGTGTCAATGTTCAGAGCTTGCAATTCTCTTTGACCGATCCGGACCATGCAGGAGTTGACTCAGAGGAATGTAACTCAGTCGACTCAGTTGATCAGAAGATCAGTTGACTGGTTGGAGTCAGCTGATGGTCGAAGAAAAGTTGAAACAACACGCCTGAAGGTTTGTTTCCTGATGTGCTGGTGTAGGACTGCAGGATTGGGTGCACAGCTGCCCTTTCCAGATCGTTTTACTTCTTGATTCGCACCAAGAAGGTGATCTCTTGCTTTTGAGACTTCCACCACAGAAGCTATTCAATCAAAAGGAGAAATCGGATCCCTTGTTCTGTTGAAAACTCCTGACAACAAGAAGGAGGTGAACAGGGGCAGCACGAGCTGGCAAGACTCAGCGC